GCTGTGGGGGCAGACCATGTGCTTTCCTAGCTGGGAGTCCCACCGGCTGTGGGTTCCCAGCCACAGGGGCACACCCCTGGCCACCCATGCCATTAATGGCATAATAGGAACCAGCCACAAAGTCATTATACATTTTTTGTAGAATAACTTTGTGGCTTATTCCTTATTTTATGATACCATTTATTGCTTTAATTTTTGGCTAGGTTATCACTTAAGATGTGATTAACTAGTTAATCACATCTTAAGTTTCACACACGGCAGATATCTTGAATACTAGATAAGGTGGGGCAGAAAGCGCAGCAATGTTTTCTTGATCCGAGCACAAAGAAATTATTACCAGGCAGGCAAGAACGAAGAACCCTCTCAGTATCTAAGCTAGAGTTACCAATGGCCCCTAATGTCAGGGCTGAATCCTGGTGTCTGTGCCCCATGGAGTTTCTAAAAGGGACTTCTGTCCTGATTTTGTAAAATTTGTCACAACCTTGAATGTTCACACAGTGCAAGATAGTGCCCTGCTATGTCTGTTAGGGGACTCAATACAATGATGCTTTTGCCAGCTGGATGTATCCATACTACCAGATCAGAAGGGCTATCTTCTGAACCAGAAACAATATAGTACTGATTTTGCTGAGCTACACTTGAACTAATCATTTCTTTCTCTGAGCAGAGATACACAATTAGTATGCCCATAATACTATGTGGATGCTAATTAGTCTGCTGATGGAGATGACTATACTAAACAGGATCAGAAGTACGATTCTAGTTCTGCAGGTCTGTGGAGCATCTGGGATTCTTTCCTCGATTTTGCTCCCCAAAAGTTGGCTTATTTCATTCTAATTGTGCTGTTTCTGGAAGCCAGTAGCCTGGAGCAGGCACCAGTAAGAGCACAGGATGATCCTGAATGGTTCTACAGATTTCGACTTTTTCAGGTCTCTAATAAGATCCACAGTTAATATGGTTGTACCATTCATGCCCAATTCTATATTTAAAGATATGTAACATTGTCATTGGACATTCATAAATTTAACTGTCTCTGTCAGTACAGCATATATGGGACCGTAGAGAGGCTAGAAAGGAAAATTACTAAGAGAAAAGCGTGGTGGCTGGTTATTTTACCTGCACTGTTTGCCCCTGTTTCACAAGAGAGGTGGATTTATCTATTTACCTAGATTTTTTTAATAAAATATGGGAAAGTTTTTTATTACAGTAAATGTTTTATCAGCAGTCTTGTTTTGTTTCTGTAATGCTGTTCACCTCTGCATATGTAGAGTTAGTTTTATATTTCCAGTATCTCTTATATTTTGGCCAGATTTTACAAGATTTTGTTTCCAGCACTTAGCAGCTATAACTATGCCTGCCAAGAGCAAATGCTTAATCACATCTCTGAAGTAAGTTAAAGGCTGTTGATCAAGTAAAAATTTCAAGACGCAAAACTTAAGGGCAAAATAGCTGTTGAGTCTTCTACGTGGCAGGGAAGATGTATTTTGTTACCTTTGGATGCCAGAAATGTCTGAATGTTAGGTCCTCTTGAGTGTCGAACAGAACTTTCTGTGGGCCTTGTCGCTTTGCTGCTTCTGCAGATCTCACTATACTTGTTTAACTGGTTTGGCTGTTCCTGTGCCTTCCTTGCTTTCTGTTCAGGGGGCCTCACGTGGCTCTGGGGCTTTCCTGTGTGCAGGTGCTCCAGGCACACGGCCTCTACTGAGGCACTATAGCAATAGCTGCTTTGAACTTCCCAGGGTGCACTGCAGGCCTCTATTAGACTCAGAATGGTGATCACCACATTTATCCATGTTGTAGAAAAATCCTCCTGTGGTGGTTGTAACTAAACCAGATAAAAGCATCACAAACTTGTTACAGAAATACATCTGTGCTCCTACTGGTGACTGTGTCTAAGGCTTACTTTCCATTTAAGACTTACCTTCTGTCCATATGGTCTGATTCTCGTCCTGTTGAAATTAATAGAAACACTCAACTTGCCTTAGGATTGGGCCCATACTTCCTAAAAACAGAAAGGAAAATCACAATTCTGATCCCTGAGATAATTTTATGAAATGGTTTTAATTTTGATTTTAAAACACTTTCTTTTAAATAATGCTAAAACGTGTTAGTCTTTCAGACTATATTTAAAGCAACCAGTGTCCCCATACAATAGTGACAGAATGAAAGTGCTCAACTCAAGTCCAATATCTGCCTCCAAGTAGTCTTCACATGGATAGAGAAGTTGACGTTGAAATATATTTGAATATTTAACACTTTTATGCCTCAACTTCACGCATTAGCTAAAATAAATCAAGTTCTGCAGCTAGCTTATCTTAGCCCCAGGCCTGAAATCAGAAATTATACTGATCCTGACAACCCACCTAGTGTCTCTTTGTAACCCATAATTGATCTTCATTTGATCAGTATCTAAAAGTCAATCTGATATATAGGACCACCCAGGGGCCCCCACATTAGCATGACATCCACTCTGTAAAGGCTAATTGTTGACCTCCTTTGCCTACACACTGCAGGTTGCTGGGCATAATAAGATTTATAGGGGAGGCCCCTGAGTTTGCAGGGGGAGAGAATAGACTTAGACTATAGGACTGCAAGAAAATAAAAAATCTAGTCTATCTTTGCTGAGAATGCAAAGGGCCAACATTTAAAGAATCCCTAAAATGCCACATGGGGATGTTTGTGTACGTCTGAATACACAAAATATCATGGGACAGATATTTAGAAAGTATAAATCAGCATAGCTTCATTGTAGTCAGTGAGGCTACAGTGGATTAGGATCTGTACACATTGTGTAAATCAGGTAATTGTTTGCACAAATTAGTTTTCAAGTGTAAGTGGCCATAATAAGTGGAAACGGCTTTTGTGAACAAATACCTTTGGCCTTTTGTCATGTGGTGTTTTTTCAATCTGTTTTATAGGACATCTTTTGGTTTGATGATAAAAAAAATAGTACGGGAGCTTTAACAACAAGATTGGCCACAGAAGCAGCACAAGTTCAAATGGTATGTATGTGTCTAATTCTGTATCTCTGTAACTACAATTAGATGCATTTCAGTCTGTGTGGTTGTTGGTAACACACGGCAGCCTATAAAGCTGGAAGACCAGTACCTCTCTCTAGGTAGTGAAAATGAACAGAAAGAAGCCAGATTTAG